ACTTGATTTATCCCAGGGAAATAGGACTCCTAGAAATATACCTATTGGATTGGATGCTCACATAGCCAAATTCAATAGGTTAGTAAAACTTGGCCCCGATCAGATTTGCTTCTGCTGCAAGGGATTGTGGTTTCCCAAGCAAATACGTAAGCTTTCTAGAGCCTATTTGGAAGAAAATTGCGAGTTTAAGGAAGAGATTTACCAGAATGCAAGCCAGCTTGCTTTCACTGGGGAATCCTTTAAGTTCTGTGGCACATGCCACGGCAATATAAAAGCCGGAAGAAAGCCCAAAGGTGCCATTTCCAACGGCTTAGACTTCCCAGAAATTCCTCATTCCTTGAGGGGGCTTACTCCCTTGGAGGAGCGACTGATTTCACCTCGCCTTCCATTTATGATAATTAAGTCGATAGGTCATGAGCGTCAGAGTGCAATAAAAGGAGCTGTTGTAAATGTCCCCATTCCGGTTAGCAACATCGTGACGTCCCTTCCACGAGCTTTCCACGAGGCAGAGGTTGTACAGCTCCACCTCAAGCGAAGAATGGAGTACGGACATGATTTCATGGCAGAGACCATTAGGCCTTCCAAAATTGCTGACGCCATCAGGTACTTAGTTAGTACAGAGCTTTACAGAAAGCACAATGTGTCAGTGAACGAGCAGTGGATCTCTGATTTCACATCCGAAACTGTTCCATTCGTAGCTTCTCAAGCGGACTTAGCCTTTGTAGAGGGACAACTAGCCATCCAACAGGAGGATGTAAACTTGGAGGCGAGAAATTCCGAAGAGAATGAAGAAGCCGAAGAGCTAAATCCTGGAGGACAGGAAACTCTGCTTGAGAATAACCAGGCACACAATGTAGGAATTCCGAGAATCACAATAGCTCCAGGTGAGGGCCAAAAGCCTCTCGACGTGATTCTCGATGTCGACTCCGAAGAATTGGCGTTCCCAAGCATTTATGCCGCTATCCGTACGAGTCAGCAAGCAGCCGATACTCGGCGTCGCGCTATAAGGCGACAATTAGGAGAAGTCCGAGCTATCTAGCAAGTTGGTAATACCGCTGACCATCGGTTAAGGCGCTTGGATCCCGCTTTCCGTGCGAGTGGGCAGGCAGCCGATATTCGGCGGCGCGCTGTAAGGCGACAAGTTAGAGAGGTCCGAACTACAGAGCAGGTCCAAAATACTGCTGACCGTTCGGAAAGGCGCTTGGATCCTGATTTCCGTGCGGGTGAACAAGCAGCCGATGCTCGGCGGCGTTCTCTGAGGCGGTTGGATGCTACGTATCGTGCGGGTGAGCAAGAAGCAAATACCCTGCAACGAGCGCAGGCAAGATCAACTCAGGATCGTTTATTGCAGAGAGCGCAGGATTGGTTTAGGAGAGCTACGGCTAGGAGTTTTAGGAAACGTAGGACCGTCGAGCAGGCGAGAAATACACTGGCTCGACGAAGTGCTCGTATAGCTGCTCGACAAGCAACTATCGATGCTATTCGAAATATTAGTCAGAGAGTTAGTCAGTATAGAAGCCTCAGTGGCAATAGGGATGCAGAAAACCTTCGGAACGCAAACCGAAGTCAGGAGATTCGACTTGATTTATCCCAGGGAAATAGGACTCCTAGAAATATACCTATTGGATTGGATGCTCACATAGCCAAATTCAATAGGTTAGTAAAACTTGGCCCCGATCAGATTTGCTTCTGCTGCAAGGGATTGTGGTTTCCCAAGCAAATACGTAAGCTTTCTAGAGCCTATTTGGAAGAAAATTGCGAGTTTAAGGAAGAGATTTACCAGAATGCAAGCCAGCTTGCTTTCACTGGGGAATCCTTTAAGTTCTGTGGCACATGCCACGGCAATATAAAAGCCGGAAGAAAGCCCAAAGGTGCCATTTCCAACGGCTTAGACTTCCCAGAAATTCCTCATTCCTTGAGGGGGCTTACTCCCTTGGAGGAGCGACTGATTTCACCTCGCCTTCCATTTATGATAATTAAGTCGATAGGTCATGAGCGTCAGAGTGCAATAAAAGGAGCTGTTGTAAATGTCCCCATTCCGGTTAGCAACATCGTGACGTCCCTTCCACGAGCTTTCCACGAGGCAGAGGTTGTACAGCTCCACCTCAAGCGAAGAATGGAGTACGGACATGATTTCATGGCAGAGACCATTAGGCCTTCCAAAATTGCTGACGCCATCAGGTACTTAGTTAGTACAGAGCTTTACAGAAAGCACAATGTGTCAGTGAACGAGCAGTGGATTTCTGATTTCACATCCGAAACTGTTCCATTCGTAGCTTCTCAAGCGGACTTAGCCTTTGTAGAGGGACAACTAGCCATCCAACAGGAGGATGTAAACTTGGAGGCGAGAAATTCCGAAGAGAATGAAGAAGCCGAAGAGCTAAATCCTGGAGGACAGGAAACTCTGCTTGAGAATAACCAGGCACACAATGTAGGAATTCCGAGAATCACAATAGCTCCAGGTGAGGGCCAAAAGCCTCTCGACGTGATTCTCGATGTCGACTCCGAAGAATTGGCGTTCCCAAGCATTTATGCTGGCGTCAAGAGACCATCTTCGGAAAGTTATACAACCATAGTTAGATCAGAGCTTAGGAACGTAGATAGAAGAGGTTGTAGAACTGACAAGTTGTTCTTCAATTATAAGAAGTTGGAATTGTTGAAAATTCGAAACAATATTTCAACTTGCCTACGTAAGCGGAGCGCTTCTAGCGCGATAACTGCCGCCAACGTACTCGATGAAGCTTTCATGGGAAACTTAATTTCCCATGATGACGGATATCGAATTCTTAAGGACATTCGCACGTCTCCTGCTCACTGGGAAGATGAGAAGAAGAAAGTCATGGCTATGATTCGCCAATTTGGTTTGCCAACTTTCTTCATAACTCTGTCGGCCGCAGAAACTAGGTGGCCAGAGCTGTTAGTACTGCTCAAGCGCAATGTAGATAGGATTGAAATTAGTGAGGAGGAAGCTTTGAACTTACAGTTTAGAGAAAAGGCGCGGCTGATCAGAACTGACCCAGTGCTAGGTATATCGATTATAGGTATAGGGAAGTTCTAAAGCTCATGAAGAAGCCGGGGGGAATCTTTGGAAGTAACTTTGTTACTACCTATTATTGGCGAGTTGAGTTTCAACAGAGAGGTTCCCCTCACATTCACGGCATGTTTTGGCTGAAAGACGCCCCGGAAGTGGATTTCAACAGTGAAGAATCTATTGCTAGTGTAGTAGCCTTCATTGATCAGTTTGTAACTGTGGATGTTACAAACACAGATTTGGCTCCGTACATTGAATACCAAAAGCATAAGCACGGGCATTCGTGCCTTAAAAATGTGCGCGAATCCGTTTGTCGATTCGGTTCCATACCCCCCAATGCCTCGCACGGAAATATTGAAGCCACTTCCCGAAGAAACTCCCAATTTGTCTCTTCATCACGAAAACTATCAGAAAATTCGCAGTCTTTTACTTCGGGATCAATCTGAGGATTTGATTAGCCATCTTAGCATATTCGAAAATTTTCTTTCTCACGATGAGGTGAGCCTCAGTTACGAGGACTATATATATGCTATTAGGTCTAGTTTGAAAAAAACACAGATTTTTCTGAAGAGAACATTTGCAGAAATTCAAGTTAACGCCTATAATAAACACATTCTTTCAATGCAAAGGGCAAATATGGATATCCAGTTAATTTTGGACCCTTTTGCGTGCTGTAGCTACATAATTAATTACATTAACAAGTCCCAAAGGGGTATTTCGAAGTTAATGCGCGAAGCAGCTAATGACATTCGAAGAGGCAACTCAAGCATTCGTCAAAAGCTACAGTATCTCGGTCACAAGTTTATTTCGGGCACTGAGATCTCTGCTCAGGAGGCCGTATATTGTTGTATGGGATTGGCGTTGTCAGAAACAAGCAATAAATGCGTGTTCATAAACACCTTCCCTCCAGAACAACGAGTTCGTATGCTTAGATCTACAAGCGTCCTGCAAAATATGCCTCAGGATTCCACTGACATCTTTCAGAAAGGTTTGCTGGACAAATACGAACAAAGACCAGATTCCCATGACGGCCTGTGTTTAGCCGATTTTGCTGCAAATTACGAGTATTCTAAAACCCGTGGTAGAGCTCGCCAAGGGGAAAATAGTAACAATGAGGCTGAAGAAGAAAATGAGGTCTTAGGAACAGTTTTTTTCGCACTTCGCGATGGTAGTGGATTTATTAGGGAAAGAAACCAGCCGAGTATTATTAGGTATAGCCCCTTTAATATTAATTCTGATAGGCCCAATTATTTTAGAGCATTAGTTATGCTATATTCTCCATGGAGAGATGAACAGGTAGAATTGTTTCAGAGAAATTGTGAGGAGTTTTATCATGAGCACGAGGAGGCTATTAAAGCCAACTTTGATAGGTATAATGCCATAGACAGCTTAGAAGACGCGCTCAGAAGGGCCATGGAGGCTGAGGAATGAGGAGTTTAGGGCCTTAGCTTTTCCAGAAATATCTTCTCAAATAAATGTTTTAAACTTAGACGACCGTGTTCAGGAAGTAGATCCGGATAGCAATATCCGCATAATAAAGCTCCCGCCAATTATTTCCCCTGAAAATTTATCCACCTTAGTTAGGTCTCTTAATTTAAAGCAAAAAACTTTCCTTACGCATGTCTTGCACAATGCAAGGATAAATGCTAGTTTCCATGAGTTCGTAGGAGGCGGAGCAGGTGTCGGCAAGAGTAGACTTATATCCACCTTATTCCAGTCCCTTTCCAAGGAGTATAATGGTAGAGTAGGATGCGACCCAACTTCTGTTAAAATACTGCTGTGTGCTCCCACAGGCAAAGCTGCTTTTGGAATCGGAGGCTCCACTCTCCATTCCATGTTCTCTCTCCCTGTAAATCAGGCTGGGTCTGCATTTAGGAGTTTAAGCCCTGATCTGTTAAATACCCTGCGTTCAAGATTTATTGATCTTAAAGTTCTTATAATAGACGAAATTTCTATGGTCGGCGCAACCATGTTTTCCCATCTGGACTCTCGCCTTAAGCAAATTTTCTCCAACGTTGATACTCCCTTCGGAGGCATTTCGGTCATCGTGTTCGGCGATCTTAGGCAATTGCGGCCAGTTTGTGATCGTTGGATTTTCCAGCCGCCGTCGCATGATCCATACAGCGCTATATTTGGATCCCACCTCTGGAGTCCTTTTAGGTTTTTCGAGCTCACAGAGATAATGCGACAGCGAGATGACCAGCCGTTTGCAATAGCACTCAACAACATGGCGTCCGGCCAAATGTCGTCTGAAGATATTGTCCTACTTAGAGGCCGTACTTCCGTAGAAAGTCAGATTCCAAATGACGCCATTCACCTTTTTTCAAGCAATCAGGACACAGACCGATACAATAGGGAGAAGCTCAACTCGATTCCCACTGATCAGTTCATTTCGGAAGCCATTGACTCTGTAAAATCTGCACATATTAGCTCAGAGCAGGGGAACAGATGTCTGGAACAAGCTAGGGCATTAAAAACATCTGAGACACAAGGTTTGTGTACCTCGCTCATTTTAAAAACCACTGCTAAATACATGATGACGGTCAATGTAGACACATCAGATGGTCTCGTAAACGGAGCCACTGGTGTCCTTAGGGAGATAGGTTTCAACACGTCCAACTCTCCAAACATTCTTTGGATACAATTTTTAGATGACAGTATAGGAGTAGCTGCACGATCAAAGTGCAGTCATCGCCAAGAGGCTTCATGGACCCCAGTAGTTAAGATCATAAAAAGCTTTCAGATTAATTCTAACCAGGCCACAACCATTGACCGAAAGCAGTTTCCAGTGGTACCTGCAGAAGCAATAACTATTCACAAAAGTCAAGGCGCTACGTACAGCAAAGTGGTGGTTCACACTAGTCCTAGCATGCAGAGAGCTGCGCTGTACGTAGCCTGTAGCAGAGCCACAAGTGCAGCAGGGCTCTATATTATTGGACCTTTCGTCCCCCAAGATCCGCCCAGGGATCGGCTTCCGAGGAAGAGCTCCGAGAACTGCGTTCCACTAAGTTACTGAGTACCCATTTCGATTGTTTACTCAATAGTCCGAACCTTCATGTCTTTTTCCATAATACGGAAAGCTTGCACTGCCACATTAGCGATGTGTGTTCCGATCAGCTAATGCTTAAGTCTTCCATTCTGTGCTTCGTTGAGGCTTCCACATACTCAAATGAATCATACGAAATTCCTGGCTTCGCCACAGCAGTGCGACTAGATTGCCAGTCAGTAGCTAACGGAGCTCGACCAAAAGAGGCATTCTCGTATTCGTTCGAAACGAACTCTTTGAGAATGTCAGTCTTTTTCAAGTGGTCGCTTTCTGGCTAATTCCTCAAATATAGCCTCTCCAGTGTTCGAGTTTGCCATCTTTAGGTACCGGTCTTTAGGGATTGTAGTTATTTATAAAAGTCCGACCTATCCGTTGTTAAAGTTTGAAACAGAGTTTAAGGAGTTATTTCAGCGGCACACATTTTTAAATAGTAATAGTTTAGTGTTAGGAGATTTCAATTTATGCCTTCACTCCATCTCTGGCTGCTGTAGGAGAGTTTTTGATTTTCTAGCAGATGTAAAAGGGTTTAGTTCGTTGCTAGATTTGGACTCGTCGACAACCAATTGCAATACGCATATTGATTGGGCGTTTTCAAATATTTTCGATAATAGGGCCACTGCGCGCACATTTGAGACTACATATAGCTACCACAGTGGTATATTAGTTAGCGTTAGGGAGGCTGAATAGGTAGGGAAAATTGTATATATTATATTTATAGTATGTATATATTTAAGTTAAAGAAAAAACAAAAACCCAAAAAAATTAAATAGTTGCATGCACAATTTTTTTTATAGTATGTAGATATTTAAATAAGCCAAAAAAAAAAAAAAAAAAAATTAAATAGTTGCATGCACAATTTTTTTTATAGTATGTATATATATATTTAATACTAGCAAGGTAGCCCGCAGCTTCGCCTGCGGAAATTAAGATTAGCAATTTCCTAACTATATCGCTTAAAACTATACTTTTGATTAACTTTTTTATTTGCTACTTTATTTAAACTAAAACCATTCCACATTTCCACACCACCATTTTGGCGCGTTTTTTTTTGTGGTTTCCCCATGAGGCCTATTCCACAGTGCATTTTAATTAGAAATGTTTAACATTTTTGCAAGACTTCTCTATAAACGATATTTTTTGATTTTCCTTCTGGCGCTAAAATAATTAAAGACTCAGAGGAGCTAACTCTTGAACAGGCCACATAAAACTGACCATGAGAGAAGAAATCGTCCCTTAAATCTAGTCCAGCTAGTTTTAAGGTCTGACCTTGCGATTTATTTATCGTTATTGCAAAGCAAACTTTTACAGGGAACTGAAGTCTTTTAAACTGAAACGGTAGATTTGATGGTATTAGGGGTATTCGTGGTATAAAAACAATTTCTCCTTTGGCACAGCCAGTAAAAACCACAGCTTCGATTAAATTGTTATGAAGAGCTTTTACTTGCAATCTTGTACCGTTACATAGTTTTGGAGGTCTTAAATTTCTCAACAGCATAATTGGTGCACCAATCTTAAGCTTTAGAATGTGTAAGGGAAGTCCAGGTGGATTTTGTTGGTTGAGAAATTCAACCGGAAAATGAACTGCTTCATCAACTTCAGTGACTGAATCAATAGACTTATACGTAACTTCAATACCATCAAATGATTTTAACAGTATGTTATTTATTATCACAGCTCTATCATTTCTAGCAGTTAATATTGCTCTCTCCGAAAACCAATCTAATGATTTGGTTGAGATTTTTGAAATTTCCGGAAATATATTTGATGTGAGCTTCTCAAGGGAAGTTACAACAGTTCCTAAACCTGAAGGAATAATTATTTTTCCTTCGACAGTTGGAAAAAGACCGTCTCCAATTCTCAATAATGTATGTGCAAAAAATTCCAGCAGTTGTATCGCCTTTTAAATGCACACGCATGTTTTTTGTTAGGCACAATTTTTGAATAGTAGGCCAAAGAAATGATGATTTTAAGCAGGCTTGTATTTCATCTGCCCTTGTTCCTCGAGGAACTACAGGAAGCGTTTGACGAAAATCTCCAGGTAATAAAACCGTCATACCTCCCATTAGAAAATCATTACCACGAATATCTTTCAACATTCTATCCAACGCTTCAAAAGCACTCTTATGAGCCATTGTGCATTCATCCCAAACAATAAGTCTACATTCTTGAAAAACCAATGCCATATTACACCGTTTAGATATTGAGCAACATGGTGTTTCTACATTTATTAAATCCAATGGGAGTTTAAACACAGAGTGCGTCCCCCATTTAACAGCGTAGCAGCTATACCTGAAGAAGCAACAGCCAATGCTACATTATTATTATGTCGTAATTTTGCTAACAACAAATTCAATAAAAATGTCTTGCCTGTGCCACCGGGGGCATCCAAAAAAAAATATTTCACCGTTTTCATTTTGAACACTTTGTAATATTTTTTGAAATGCCATTCTTTGCTCATCGTTAAGGGAATTTTCGTCTTTACTTAATTCGAATTCATTAATATTGTAATTTATTTCGTTTAAATATTCCCTATTTTGAAGTGGTCTACTAACTCTAATCGGTTCGGGCAAACCATAGTCTAATAGACACGTACCTCCAATGGACAGTGTTATATCTTCGATTAAAATAAGACATTTATTAAACACTCTATCCAGTAGATCTTGATTGACTTCTGCCACTATTAGAGAAAACTCGTACAAAATGTCTTCTGAAAAGCTTTCTTTATACATTTCCCAAAGATGTGCGGCATCAGCCATTTGACAATTTACTAACATCACCGCAAATAAATCACGTAACTGAATTGGCGATTTACATAAAGCTGCTTCCTTTAGGGTATATTCCCAGTGTGTGTCATCTTCTAGTAAGCCCAAAGCCTTACATGCCAATTGAAATGTAGCATACGTAATGTTATTAACTGTTTTAAGAAATAAGAATGAGGTTGGTCCCCGCACTTCATGAAGAAGTAGTCTTAGGTAATAGCATTCACTATTTTTAGGGTGTATGGTATACACTCGACCTAAAACATCATCCATTCTAATTCCAGGAAAACCAGGTACAATATTACCTCTCTTTCTCCTTTGGAACTTTTTATTGTTCCACGTGAAATAGGAAGGTACTTCAACATAAAGAAGGGTCCTTGCAAATGAATCCGTTTTACAAAGTTCGAAAAACCCAGTCAGTGTCGTTATTGAAGCGTTGGTTAACTGGTTAACTAATTGATTTTGATTATTAGGATCAAAATATATCCGTTGACCATTTTTCAAATGCACGGCCAAATGTACAATTGCCGGATACCTTTCATGTATGGGGAATGCAAGAATTCTCCACACTGCTTCAGAACTACTGATATATCGACCGCTTTGATATAGTTGAACCTCATTAGTAGGGCTTTCCACAGTAAATGTAGCTTGATCACTGCCCTTATTGATGTATTTGCAAACGTATTTAATGGATTTAATTGAACTACAGAGCTCTACATTAATATGAGCCTCAAAGGTCCGCAGGAGAACACAATTATAGGGCACTACCCACCTATTGTCAATTATGTTTCCATTAATTTCCATGGTGAAGCCACCATCTTCAGGTGCTCTTCGCCTATATTTAGGGTAACCATCTTTTCCAGTAACAGTTTCATTAAGCAACGATCGCGGAAACTTTTTGGAACAATTACCCTCGTTCATACAGGGCGATTTTAGGTTTAAGCGGCCACATGGTCCATGAATCATATTAGCCTTAACAATCTCATATAGGAGAGGATCCTTTTCAGAATCTGGAATTTCTGCACATATAATTGAATCAATTTGTTGAGGCGTGATCTTAGACTTTAACCAAATCAGTATATGTGCATGTGGGAGACCACGTTTCTGCCACTCTATCGTATACATAAAGCATTGCACTTCCCCAAACAAACTATGACTATTAATTAAAGACATTATAGCTTTGACCTTTAAATGAAAGACTCGAGCAATGATATCATGCCGATCGTGAGGCTTCTGCCCTAAAAATAGTGCACTTTTAATTTCTTTCCATTTAGGATTACAGGTAAATGTAATAAAAAGATCAGGACGACCATAATAACGAACATATGTCATGGCATCTTGAGTTTTTTCGTGCATGTACCGTGGCGAGCCAGTAAAGGATGAAGGTAAAATTACCATCTGTCCAAACTGTGCTAAATCTACATCATTCCTACCTATAGCATCTTGAAGATGTATGTAGCTTTCTGCTCTCAGCTTTTTTTGATTTAGCCGAATAAAATTAAGCCTTTCTGTTTCTATTTTAGCATACATATCAACCAAAAATTGACTAAAGAGAGCTCTAAAATAGTGCAGGTGATTCCATACATTTTCTCTAAGCATTATTCGGAAACTGTAAAAATCTAACGCTGAGACTGTTTTCTTAACGTTTTTTTTTGAAACGGGGTCAATTTTGGGTATATCTATAGTGTAACCATCTTCTCCATGACAAAACATTAATGGATATTGTAGGGCGTCATAAGATCGGTGAAGTTCACTGATTCTTTTTAACTGATTATTATAACCCTCAATAATAATGTCCCTTTTATCAAATTGTTGGTCAACTAATACCAAAGCGACCTCATTTGCTTGGGGTGCGTTATAACGACCTCTATGAGCCCTAACAGGCTTTTTATTGGCGTGAATAACCATTTTAAATTGGCTACAATTCTTCGGAACTCTTTTAAGAGCAGTTTTAAAATCCTTAACATATGGATTACTTTCATGCAGCATCCACTGTAGTGATTTAACTAACGCATTTTTAACTCCAGGACTGTTTTTACACCTGAAATCGGCTTCTACATTGTCCTCACCAATAAAATAAATTTGGAGAAACTGAGCTTCTTCTTTAGAAGCTGGCAAAACGCTACCAACTAAGTGGTAAACTTGCCCCTGTACTTTAAATGTGGGCATATAACCTTCATTAATAACTTTTGTCGCACCAAATGAAGTCAT